GCGGCAGAATGTGCGCACGTTGGCGCTCATCGTGTGCACCTTCACCTACCTGCTGGTGGGCGCCGCGGTCTTCGACGCGCTGGAGTCGGAGCCAGAGATGCTGGAGCGGCAGCGGCTGGAGCTGCGGCAGCAGGAGCTGCGGGCGCGCTACAACCTCAGCCAGGGCGGCTACGAGGAGCTCGAGCGCGTCGTGCTGCGCCTCAAGCCGCACAAGGCCGGCGTGCAGTGGCGCTTCGCCGGCTCCTTCTACTTCGCCATCACCGTCATCACCACCATCGGTAACTACTAGCCGCGCGGGGGGCGGGGGCCGGGCAGTAGGAGCGGGCTGCGGTCGGGGTCCTCAGCGGAGAGGGGCTGGGCGCCGAGCCCCGCGCCCCCGGCAGCCCGAGTCCAGCCCGGCGGGTCTGCTCTGCGGGCACGGGACTCGGGGGAGGCGTCGACTGCGAGCTCCAGACCTCAATCTCCAGCCGGGCCAGCCCTAACTTGGCCCTACCAGGGTGCGCGAGGACCCCAGGGGACTCGAAGTGTGCGAGAGGGTCAGGAACGGCCGGTGGAGGTTGGAGGAGGAGGGGTGTGGCCGGGCTAGGCCCTGGAGCGGGGAGCGGGGTAGGAGCGGCGGGAGGGCGCGACTCCTCCCGGCCCTGCGCTTGGGCTTCCGCACCGGGGTCTACACCTGCTGGGCTCCAGCAGGCAGAGATGCCGCTGTTACTCCGTGGCACTCTAGGCCAATCTGGATGCCTGAAACACCCTGTAACTGCGGCTGTGAGCGCTGCCTGGGAGGGAGTGTGTGTATGTGTGTGTGTGAGAGAGAGAGAGAGAGAGAAAGAGAGAGAGTGTGTGTCTGTGTGTGTCTAGCTCCGGGAGTTTAGGTACCACCAGCCAGAGCCTGTGATTTTCTTAGGGCGGCAGAGCTGGTGCTGAAAGCCAGATAAAGCCCTGTCAGCCTCTCCACTGTCCCAGCAACACAGTCACCTCACAAGAACGGCTCCAGCTCTCCTTTCCAAGCCAGGACAGGTCATGGTGTGGGAAGCCACACACACACCCAGATCCTGTGACGGCACAGGAATGGGCACTCAGGTACACACAGGCACACACAGGACACACACAGAGCAGAGCACACAGATGGATGCCCAGGAAACGGATCTCTAGCCCTGCCCTTGAGGGTGCTACTCAAGTGTCCAGGAGATTAAACGCTTTGCCCACTCCAGAGACCCTGTAATTCCAACCTAGCTCCACCCACCACCCCCTGTATGACCTTGGGCAAGTCCCTTCCCCTGCCTGAATCTCAAGCTCATGTCCAGACAAGAAGTTGGCCAAAATGATCTCAAAGGCTCTTCTCAGCCCTGACGTGCTCAGATTCTGAGATTGGAAACCCACCTTCCCCCAAAGCCCATTGGGATGCCTCCAGGAGCTGTTTCCTCCTCTTCCCCGCCCCTTCTTCTCTCTCTGACCCTCCTTGCCTTGGCTGGGCTCCCAAGGGTTCATTGCCATTTGGCTTAGCTCATGACAAAATGGCAGTGTTTTCCTGGGAGTTGACAGGAGTCAAGGGGGTAAAAGGCAGAACTGGACGCGATCTATCTGCTGCAGAACTGTGTTCTGAGGCTCTGCTTCCCTGGAGTCCCAAAGCTTGCCCAAAGAGGAGCCCGAAAGGAGCCAGACTGGCTCTGCTCCGGGGTCCTTCCCCTCTCCAGAACACCCTACTCCCACCTGCCTGGTCTCAAGTGGTGGTCAGCTATCTGGAGAATCAGAAAGCATCCTTAGACCTTACATGCACAATCCCTCTCTACTGCAGCCCAACTGTCCCCTGAGAACACCTTCAATGTGTGTGTCTGACACACCTTTTTCTCAGTCTTCTGTTTATTTGTCCATACTAACCCTCTAGGTCCAGCTCAGATCCCACCTCCTCCTCGAAGTCTCCTGGGCCACTGCTCTGGATCTCTGCAGGATTTACTGTCAACACCTGGGTGACCATTGCAGGCTCCTTTGAATGTTATGTACATGTTAGGGAATGTGTTTTGTTTCTTTAGCCACATTATAATTAATCTCCATGAGCGCAGAGTCCTGTAGGTCCTGTTACTGAGCTCCCAGTGCCAGCGTGGTACCCAGCAGCTGTGAGCACTCAGAGAATGCTATTGATGGGTTTAAGGTGTGCAGAAATGAAAAAGCATTGCCCTCCTCTCCACCCCTGCTGTTGTTTCCTAAAGTGCTTGTGTCCTGGCCTAGTGAGATGCTAAAAGCTCAAGCTAGACGCAGAGCAGGGATCTGGCGACTCTTTATACACTGCTGGGCAAGAAGGACAATCTCAGACCACCACCTAGGTTCTGGGATCCTCAGACTGGCTCTTCCCAGTCTCTGCCCCACCCAACCATCCCTGACTTTTTCTCACCTTCTACTCTGGCTGTGCCACCCAGCTAGAGGCCAGCCACAGGGCCCTGATCTAAGAAACCCCTACCTGGGAAGTGCTGAGACGGCTGGAAGGGGCATGTATTAGACTGATCCTGACCTAGAATCGAGGGTCAGCAGGCCTGTCTCTCCTCGGAACCTCTCATGGGGAGTCCGCTGGGATGGAATAGTGAAAGAACCTCCTGTTCATTTGGTACGTTAAGGATCACAGTGCTTTCACCTTGTGGTTGATTCTCAGCCTTCACAGCTTTCAAGTTGCCAGGGCAGGGACTGCTAGCTCCGTTGTACAGATGGGGAGGGGTTGAGGGAGAAGAGACCCCTCCCAGAGCACCCAGCTGGTGAGCAGTGGAGTCAAAGCGGGAAGCTGGGTCTTCTGACTCCAAGCCCAGTGCTCTTTCCCTGCTGGTCTCTTGGCTGCTTCTTTGCCTCCATATGCTGTGAAGCCCAGACCCAGCCGGGCCTGGCAGAGCCTTGACTTGCTTAGTGATGCCAGCTTGCAGGGCACTCTCGGGTAGCTGATTGGTGGAAGGTTGGCAGGGTCAGACTTAGTCATTCACCTGGTTAGTCACAGTCTCCACTGGCTGCATGGATTCCTCCCGCTCCCACATGCCTAGCCTCCCAGCCAGGAAACCCTTCCTTCACTGTCCCCTCAAGTTCACCAAACACGAATGGAAACTCTTTCCTTGGGAAACCTTGCCCTCCCTAGCTGTTGAGTCATCAAACTCCTCCAGGCCCCAGCCGGGTCTATTCATAGCCAGGGGCTGTCAGAGCAGGAAGGGGCCTGGGGATCAGCTGGTACCACCTCCTCTCACAGATAAGGCGCCAGAGGGCGGTGAGAGTCACACAAAGGGAGCAGAGTAGCAAAATCTGACTCCCAAGCCCCCAACCCTTCCACTTGTTCAGAATATCTCTTTTTCAGATTTTTTTTTTTTTTTTTTTTTT